CCAGGCGAGCGTGCTACCGCTTGAGCCACATCCCCAGCCCCTGGGCATGTGTCTTTAGCAGCTATTCTGTGCCTCACCATTGTGTCAGATACCTGTGTGTGTAGGGGTAGGGCAGAAAGTTTTTCTCCTTAATTTGAAGGAACTATACTGTAGAAACTTACTTAGGGAAATATACCTGATTAGACTCATTCTGATGTTAGAGGTTTGGGGGAGTTGGGAAAGGTATGAAGTGTATTGTGCATATAAGAATGGAAATAAATGCAATTATGACCTGAGCATGGACTGTGGGGATTTAAAATATACTCCTAAATTCTTTCAAAATCCTTTCAAAAGATGGAGTTGCATTCCTCTCCTCTCTTTTTTGGGGAGGCGGTAATGAGGATTGAATCCAGAAGTGCTTTAGCACTGAGCTACATTGCCAGCCCTTTTAACTTCTATTTGTTTATTATTCATTATTATTATTATTTTGCATCACTGGGGATTGAACTCAGAGCATGCTACCATCCTTAATAGGGTCTTGCTAAATTGCCAAGGTTGGCCTTGAATTTGTTAATCTCCTGCCTCAGTCTCCCAAGTTGCAGGTCTTATAGGAGTACATCAACATGCCCAGCTGTCTCCATGGTGTTTCTACATGTCTTATGACAACTTTCATCTCAGACTATCTTCCCAAATATGTTTGAATAGCAACCAGCCTTGGAAAAAAGATAGTGGCTCCCTCTGGGACAGAAGGCAGATTCTATTTCCTGAGCATCATAATTATGTCTCTTTCTGGGGAAATGTTGTGCAGGTTTGTTAGTAACTTCTTAAAAGATGGGGTTTCTGAAGCTTAGTGTTCCTCAATATTACACAAATGCATGGTATTCAAAACATCTACCTTAGCTTCTCTGCATCACCCTGTGGGACATAGAGGACAGAAGGAACTGATGCAAACATGAAGTTTATGTCTGCTGTGCCACAAGCAATATAGTCTTTTGTCTTTGACCCATGAGTCTCATGCCCTGACAGCATTCAAGAATCTCTGAGCCTGGGCTGGGGATGTGGCTCAAGCGGTAATGTGCTCGCCTGACATGCTTGGGGCGCTGAGTTCGATCCTCAGCACCACATAAAA